GCTGTGCCTTTTTTTCTTTCAACAGATAAATGCTAACACCAAAATTATGGCACAAGCTCTTAAAGTCTGATAATTGAAAACAAAGGTTATTCCCCATGGAAAGGAGTACTGAGGTCTGCAGTATGTCCTTCAAATTGAAACCGACTGTATAACTCCCAAATAATGAGGATACAAATTAGCTATATGTGATCATCCGCTTCTGTTTATCCAGAGCATGTTCTTTTCTTGTGGTTTCTGCATACCTTGCCTTCGCAGTGTGAATGAGCCACACACAGCTAGTGTTTACCATCCAGTATTTCACTAGGGGAAGATGGCAATTAATGTTTTGGCTTAAATTCAAGAAAATCTCCCTCCTTTCCATGACCCAATGCCTGACTTGCCTCTTAGAATGACAGCCAAGACCACGTACCTTAGAGCAAAACCAAAAGAAGCTTCTATAAAAGCACATCACTTCTATCCAGAAATTGTAACACCCACTGAAGTGGAGCTTCAAAAACTCATTAATGCAGTACCAGAAAAAAATAAATCATGGAAAGACAAAAAGAGTTTACCCTGTGAACTAAGTCCTTTTGATGTACAAATTAGCCTACACATCAAACAAGCCCTTGAGAAAATGTCTTGTCACTTTCTCAGTGGCATGTGAAGTAGAATTTTTCTGGCCATTCCTGAAAACATAATTTGTAATTTTAACGAAATGCTAAGGACCAGCCTAGTCCCTGGAGAGGCTTACTTTAATATGCTTTTGACTTTGGGTAAATAGAAGTTGAGTCGCTCCACGGTCCATTAGTATTTTTACATCAGCCCCTTGATGGAAACAGGGAATGGGGAGTTACTGAGAAAAGCTAAACAAAAATCAAGAAGCACCAACAAGACTTGCAGGGCTCAGGAACATCTGAATTTGGATTGGGTTACACTCGGGTGGGAAGATTCTTGTTGACTTTTGTCTGGGCCGATCCCTTCCCAGCACTTCCAGCCCACAGTACAGCATGGCAGCGCACCAGCACAGCCAACACCTTGGCACAGATTTCCACCCGCTGGCAGCTGAACCCCAAACTCTGGCCAAGGTCAAAGGGAAGAATGGCAGTGGTGGTCTAGACCCACTCTCCAGAGAAGCTTTGTCCACGTCATTTGGACACGCGCAGCCTGAATACACCACAGTGTCTGGTGCAGTCGGAGGTCAGGGTTTTAGCGATGACAGGGAAACCACGTATATGAGGTTCTTGCCCAGCCAGAGCTGAACAGCAAAGCACAGCGGGAAATCTGCTTCCACTGAGCAGTGGGCAGCAAAAGCCCTCCCATCCACCCACACTTCTGGCTGGTCCAACTCGTTCCCAAGAAGTCTCTCCTGGGAAAACACGCTTAACACACTCATACATACGCACACAAGGGCTTCACAAATCCTGCCTGCTAACAGCAAAAGAAACTTGGCTGGTCCGCAAAGCCAACAGGAGCAGCTCCTGCAGAAGCACTTGTCCCACCACTGAGGGACTCCACCCTCAGCTCATACTCTTAGCAAACCCTCACCTCCTTCTTTCCCACCCCTTCCTCTCCCTGCTCCTCCATATTATAGTTCTTTTTTTCACTGACTCTTTTCTTTAAATATTCAGGGCTCTTTCTGAGTCCTTCATGAGCACAGTCAGCTCGGTCTCTTTATGAACTACTGGACCTTGGCAATGCTCCAGCATCACAGTGTTAAGAAAGACATTTTCTATTCAGCAGCGCTGACTCCATCACATAAGTCTCTGTGGAGTAGGTCAGAAGGCAAAGCCTGCAGAGTGTAATAATATTTGTACTGCTGTCTAATCCTAGAGGGAAATTCGTAGGAGGAAAGATGTAGAGTGAAGTAGAACCAGCTAAGAGAATGCCAAGCGCCTCCAAACCACAGGGCTGTTCAATAAAAAGGGGAACAAAGAAAGACAGCTTCAACAATATCCACAGTGTTTCTTAATCTAATTATATTTTTACTCTAAGTTTTGTCATCATAAGAAATGCCCCTGACAGGCTTTTGTTGTGTTTTCCATAGGTGAAGTCACTCACCTGGTTAAACAGAAAGCTGCTAGTAAAACAGTCCAAATATATTGCAGATGCACAAAGATATCTTGAGAAAAGATTGTTAGAGATATAAAATCTGTTTTCCTTTTTTTTTCCCCCCACAGTTCTCCCTATTTCTTCCTGTGGTGCAAATACACCTCTTTTAGAAATGTCCCTGTCTTCTCTTAGACTGGGGCATGGTTGTCATTCTTCAGGATTGAAATACAGTGTCCAGAAAGAATTTGAACTTACTTTTCCAAGCGACAAAAACACTATAATGGAGAGCTTTTCCTTGCTCCATGGAAGAAACTTTACTCTTTCCAACATTCAGAGTGAGGCTGCTAAACAATATATGTCACTTACATATTAGAAATATCTCATTTGACAAACAGTGTCTATGGAAAGTTTCATGTAGAGGAATGAACCTCAATCTTCAAGAACACCTCTGCTACTACCTGTGATTTTCTGTCTCTCTATAACAAAATTAAAAAGAAAAGCCTTCTTAACTCCTTCAGGAAGGACAAAAGTATTGTTTCTAACTAACTGAGATCCTGAATTAAAACTGTCAGTTTAATTAGGTGGGTTTTAAAGAAAAGAAACCTGTATGAAAGAGACAGTATAAAACAATCCATCTTGTGAGAAATTTCTGTAAAAATGTTTGCAGCAAGGTATTAAAAGCTAGTACAACCTCAGTAAGAGAATCAATAAACGTGCGTGGTCATGACTGCTATCCTTGTATTAGCCTTCCTTGGAAGAAGCAGTGAAATGCTGAGAATAAATCACTTTTTAATCAATGCTACCAGTTTCTTGAAACAGTCACATAGGTAATCCACTTTTCATTGACACTTCCTAATTCTTTTTTTCCTCTGCAGATTTTTTTTTTAATCAGTTGATCTGAATAAGCCTTTTCTGACTGGAAAAGTTACCTTTCTTTATTCAAGCCCTGTACATAGTTTCCCCTTTTGACTGATTTTGGTGAAGTGAAATTACCCTGGTCTCAGCTTAGCTGCCCAGAAGTCTGCAGTCTGAGATGCCACTGAGCATCCACTTGGCTTCTTGCTGCTGGAGGGCTCAGGCACACACTGGAGCTGTGTTGTTGCATAAATTCTCTAATCTACTCAGTGAGGTCAAAACAATTTGGGGGAGATCACAAATCCTGAATTACTGAAAACAGCTCCCCAACGAAGTTCAACACTGTTCAAGAAAAGACAGCTTTGGCATAGTTGGACATCTGTCAGAATTTGAGGATAAAGTGATCTAAATACTTGTATATTTAATCTTCCCCTTTATAAAAAAAACAAGTACAACAGTTGAATTACTTTCTGGTTATTTGTTCAACCTACATAGCATTGTGGGATAAGACAAAGGGTCAGTTTTCAAGGTGAACACTGAAAATTTGTTGCAGAATGACAGGAATCATGAAAGTAATCATTTGGAGAAGCAGCTTAATCTCTTCCAGAGAAGAAAACTTTATTTCTGAAATGAGAAGATGTCAAAAATAATTTTTTCCATCTCAGAAAAGTTACCAAAAATATGAACGGCGTGAGGGGTAAGGATATACAAAAGAAAATGAAAGGAAAAGTGCCACAATCTCATAATAAAAGAAATGAGGGTGCAAGGGCAGACTTCTCATCTGCCCATTGAGGTTGAAATGCTGTGTAAGCTGATCTGGGAGTCTAACGCTTCTGAAGAAATGGGATACCAAGCTATTGGTATGGGATGCTCCATTAGGATGCCACATGGGAAAAGAACTTCTTCGGTCTGAAGGTAATAAGTGAAACTGAGCTGTGGTTGAAGAGAGATTAAAGTTTTCTTGGGGATGGAGCTGAAAGTTACCACATCCTACAAGAAATAAAACTTGTAACTAATTCATTTGCTTACTTTTTCAAATGAATCAATGAAAACTAGACATAAACTTTCCACTCCTGAGAGTTCTGTGAAAGCTTGGATTCCAAGAGGAATGTGTAAGGAAAAATAACAGTAGAAATCATTCTCCATGAGAGATGGAGATCAGGATGCTCCATCTTAACAACCATCTATAAAAGTACTTACAAACATTGGTGCATTTTTTCTCAGTCATATGTTCTCCTTTTTTTGATAGTGGCAGATTGTGTGATAAGAGACGTACTGCCCCATCTCAACAGATGGAGCTGGAAAGCTTTCTACTGCTTGAAAAGAAATCAGAAGAGTAAAACTCGTGGTGGAAAAAAAGAAAATCTGCTTGTGGCTACACATATCTCCAAGGTAGGAGATATGTCTCCACGCCTGTCCCAATGCAGGGTTTGTTTCTCAGCACCATTCATGCTCTACAGGATTTCTCTTCTCTTTTGAGTACTGACATTTTGACTGGAAGACTTTAAGTACATGCTGGGAGAAAACCGACCACTGAAACCTTCTGTCCTGGCCAGATCTTCACAAACAAGAGGACACATCTGCTGCTCTTTGCAAGCCACAGGAGGAGGTTGCTCCCTGCTACCTCCTTGACGTGGACTAGGAAAGCCTATTGAAGGCACTGTCTTTGAAGTAGTTTCCACACAGCTTATAGGACTTCAGCCAAAATAGCATGCAGAATATATCAGAAAATACAGGTATATGGAGGATGAGGGAAGCTGCTACAGTGCTGGATCTCAGGTAAGAGTCACAGCATTGCCCTCCCATTCTGCTTTGGAGAAGCCAAACTGTAAGAGCTGCATTAAGAGTACACAGAAAATTCCAGCTTCAGTTTTGGCCTGGTTCCAGGCAAGATGAATTAGACCACAATTATTGGAACATTTTTGCAATACTTACAAGATTCAGACACATATTTATATGACAAGTCACCAAAGTCTTCTTAACTGATCATAATGTTCTTAACTTTCATGATGTTCCAATTAAATGTTAGAAGACCTGATGGATATATATGGTTTCAGTTTTCAAAGATGCTCAGTTTCTCACAGAAGAATTACCCATAAATCTACAATAAGCACAAAAGGAACAGCAGGCAAGAGGAAAAGTCATATCTGAATTACAAAATTAATAATCAAAGACAGCATGGGATGATTTAACAAGGCTTTCAAATGTGTTAGAGTGCCTGCACTTTGGCAAGCTCTAGCTACTTCTAGGGACCTGCTAGAACACTGCATATAGGTTAATACATTTCTTCTAAGAACACATTTGATTTCTGTAGGTCTGTGGAAGTTCTTTCCTTTGTGAGTGCTGTATCTCATGAAGGGCTGTGGTATTTACCAGCTCTGCAATGGGATGCCAAGCAGTTGTTCTTTGCTGAGTCACTTCAGAGGGCTGCACAGGAGCACTCTGCTCTGCTCTGCTGATTTCTGTGATCTCATTAGCTCCTTCCCTTCACAAACATCTAGCTCACCCACAGAAATATATACGTAGCCTAGTCGTTATCCTATTTCTGTTGCCTGGATTTTAATCACTGCTCTGTTCCTAGTTGTTTCATGATGGGTTCAGGCATAAAACAAATCTGCTCCTGATTCTTCCTGTCAACAAATGAACTAAAGACCATAAACTATCCTCTTCCTAATCTACTGTTTCAGCATATTAGCTAACATAAACCTGTTCCAGTGACCCATGTAATAGCCATACTGACATTTTATGGTTGGTTTCTCAGTCCCAGATGTAAATGATTAAAAACTACAAGGGATTTCTTTATACAAATCTATTAATAGGTTGGGGAATTTTTTGCTTCGTTTTTAGGGTAACGTATTTTGAGTCTGAAGCATGGAGCTTAAAGCAGTGGCTGGCGTCAGAAGCCACTGCAATATACATTTCAGTTTCCTCCAGCCAGCCACAGCAAGAAAATTGATGGCCTGTTCTCTGGGGCTCGTGTGTTCCTCCTTGGCTGCTGTCTCCCACGCTGCTGGTGTTATTACTCTGTTTTCACTGCAAAAGAATGCAGGACATTCAAGTTATTCCAAGCAGCATCCTTGATGTCTGGATTTCATGGGAATGTTTCACACCGCAGTTATTGCTAACTGTTAACTTTCATACCTTGGACTGTTGTTTTTGGCAGCTTGCTCTGTTTTGCTAGCCGGACAGACGTAAGCCAAAGCAGCCTTTGCTGCAAACATAAGATGTGTCGCCATCTATCATGCCGTTGCCAGCAGGGAGACCCAGATGATGGCACCCTGCTATGTGGAAGTAAGAGGGGAAATAAAAGACAAAGATATAGAAACACAAAAGGACTTCAAAGACAAAACAAAACCATCTTTGCTATGATCTCAACAAAAGTCTTTCAACTCATTTCAGGGAATAACTTGTAATTTCAGCATCTTAGTGCTGTTAACAGGCATATAGGCATTGGTGTGCGCATGGGAGGAGCAAGGAGCCCTCTTCATGACATTCTCCACCTTATACCAAACCTGTAAAAGAAGCTGCCCTCTGAGGAATGACTGCAAAGATTTGCAAGAGACAGAGGGCATACAATACAGTCTCCATCACTTGCACATCTCTTCTGCCACTCACACTATATGCTGCTAGGAGGTCACAAGCGTGGGCTGAGTTCACCATTCATTACAGTCTTACAACTGGCAGCTTGTCAAGATATCCTCAGCACTGGATGATGTTGCAGGAATGAAGAAGGGGCATGAGAAAAGAGGGATTATGTTTGAAGCTCTTCCTATGGTTGATTTGACTGATACCAGAGAGATAAGACCAAGATACTAAGCTTGGACTCAGACCCAGAATTTGTTGAGTCTGTCAGAGTTCATGGGTCTTCAGATGGGGAGCTTGGTTCAACTGCTTCAAATAGGAGCTAGGAAAAGCTTAGATGTAGATCTGGTTTGCAATTTTCCTCACGTCGAGCATGAATAATTAGAGGTTTGGAGTGAGTTCATGTAATGCAAAGAGAATAAACTATTGTTTGTGTCACAATGGAAAAGGAAGATAATTATTAATAGGAAGCAGGGTCGTTGTTCTATCCAAAACCCTAAAACTCCCGCAGCCTTCTCCAGTGAGTAGAAAAAACAGAGTGGACAGAGTCATCCAGCTCATTATTTAACAGGCTGTTTTTCTTTTCGTGCAGAGTGCTTCTATGCAGAGAACTGGTTGCAAAGCATCACAGAAAACTTTACCGAGCACAACAAGCTCCCATGAAACATCTTAAAGTCTACAGCAGTGCTGGGAGAGAGGGCCTTCCTCCATCCCTGGCAGATCTGCACAACAAGAAGCCAATTGCTTGCCTTCCTCCTTCCATTGAGTCTGCAGAGCTGTCATTCTAATCAGTGCAGCCACTGGAGAGAGAGGTGCAGACCTCCACAAAGCAAGCAAGATGCTCAGCACATGGCATTAACTATAGTACAGAGGATGTTTGGATTGTCTGCTTTCCTTAGGAACTCAATAAAAAAGATACTCTAAATGAAGCGCCATTATTCTTCTGTAATTCGATTAGGCATCTTTGTCAGAGAACTATCAGTATAAAACCAAGGAATATCAAAGCTGTAAGGGCACTACAGATTTGAGAAGAAAAAAGAAGAAAAAAAAAAGAATTGGGTTCAGTCCACTTCATGTCTTTCCTGCTAGTAAAATCATCATCTTACTGACAGGGAAGAAAAGCACAAAAGCATTAGTGGTTTGTCTGAGGCCACACAGGAAGTTTGAGAGAGGGTTGGAAACTCAGACCATATCTTCAGCATCCAAATCCTTAACCACAAGGCCATCCTCCTTTCCATAGCTATGTCTTGGGGAAGAGAAATACAGCAGTGCTGAATCTCATGGGCCAATAAATTATATTGCAATGACAAGCAGAATCTGTCCTCTGTGCTGATGTATTCTTTGCTGTGTGCAATTACCTTACCAGCAATCACTGGGCTGCTGCATTTGTTGGAAGACCAGTACATAATCTAGTGGAGATAATACGTCTTGATGATTCTTTAGACCTTCAAGTGAACTCGGTGGCCTCTAATTTCTATTGTCCAGTGAGTAACGGCCCATATCACACAACCCCTTCACATTTTATCATCTGCAATGTATTTTAAATTGACTTCTCAATGGAAAAGGAAAGGCTGCTGCAGAAGAGGATAAATGATGCAGCTGGCTTGGAAAAGCTTGCACATACTGCCAGTTTGTCGATCTGGCAGTAATTCCTCCTGTTCCTTATCACTCTTCATGCTTTTGAAGACTGTGATGGGAGGAAGAAAGAAATGAAGTTTTAGTAACTTTTCTTTGAAGTCTAAGGATTAAGGGTGAGGTTGAGACAAGGCTACTAGAGACAGGTAACGCCTTATTTTAAGCTCATAAAATAAAAAATGTGGCCTAATAAAAGATACTACCTCTGCCCTTAGACTGGCTGGTATACTGCCCTCAGTAACTGCTGTTGCAATCATGCACACTGGTTCTTCAGAACACTGCCACTTGCAGCACTCAGAGATGGAAATAAACAGCTTACTGTTCCCTTCAGCCCTTAACAGCAACAACTAAGCACTCCCACGTCAGATGTCTGAAACACTAAAGTGAATCAGTGTGCTGTGAATGGGAGATAACAATCAAGGAAGTCATGTGTCTTACTCCAGACTTCTAAGTGGTGGAGATTTAGGAAATGTTCTTCATGAGAAAAAGTAGGAATGACAATTTTAAAAAATTATCTTTAGATAAGTTTTTTCTTTGAGGCATTAGATATAAGAAAAATATGGGAAGGAAAGAACAGAATAATTAATTATTATGACCACAAGACACAGTGGGTTTTTTTTTCCCTTCCAGAGAACAAATGACTGGGTTATCTGCACTCTTCTGAAGGGCATGTATGGGGAGGACAGTGGTGCTCCCTCACTCGGGTATGACCCTGGAATTGTTTCCACAAGTACAGGATGAAGCAGGTGAGGCTTCTCAAGCTGATAATGCTACAAGAGCTTCTCACAAACAGCAGAGTTCTGAGGCCATTTATTCTCACAGGAGCTAATCCCACCAAGACACTGCCGACTAAGCCTGGTTATGGTTGTCCTGCCAAGCTATTCCTTGCAACTCAACAGATCATAATACAGATAAAAAAGGCACGATGTCAACCCTGGGAGCAATTGAGGATACCAAAAGTTAATGGCCTTGCTGCCCTGTGTCCGTCTTTCCCCTGTGGCTCCCATGGGGATCTTACAGAATTGTGGTAAGCAGTACTGTGCCTAAGTGGATGTTCTTAGGAGAGGCAGGGTGAACCCTTACATGCACATTTCAGTACTTAAATCAGTACTTAACATACTTAAAGAAGTTGGAATTTCAGCAGCCCACTCTGAAAACTAAATATGTAAGCACAGCTTTTGAGAATAAGGTCTTTCATTCCTTTGTCTAATGTGGATTTAGAAGTCTTGCTAAGCACGGTCCTCCAATTCCAGACAGAGATAAACACTGACAAGATGCTGACCAGATAACCTTTCTGCTCGTGCCCTTGTTTTATAGGAATTGATAGGCATTTCAGGACCTTCTGAAAACTGTAGAGGTGTTCTGACTAAATTTCATGAAAATACAGGAGACCATCAGAGGCCACATGTGAGACTGGGCTGGCCGATAGCTTACCACTGCTTCTGCTTGTCGGTGAGAGAGAATAAACAATTTAACTCTGTCATAAACCATTTCATTGTGTTTGAAGTAATAAGAGAAAGTACTTGAAATGCAGTAAGGAAGACTGTGTCAAACTTTATGCACAGGAATCACCTTATACTCATTTTAGCATGAAATACCTGATTTCTATGTCTTCTGAGACAGGCAGGGATGTACTCTACTTTTGTATCCTTCATCTCCCCAATCATGTGCCTTGTTCAGGCTCAGGCTTCAAAGCTGCCCAAGAAAGACCTGGCCAGATGCAGAGATTATTTGCTAAACAACCTGAAAATATGCAGGTTTGTGAAAGTTGTGCCTGGCAGCTACTTTTACACTCCCTCGCCATTGGAAAACAAACCTAAGCACCAGAGGCTGTTCAGTAAGAGTTCACTAATAAACTTTGAACTGTTAAAACCATGTGTTATAGGTACTCTTTTTAGCCAGTGTGTGTTATGTTTGGCTTTGAAAGCACCTCAGCTTTCACTTTATGCAAATGAGCCAATCAGATGCATTCTGACAAAATCTTGGATGGCCTGGCAGAAAGGCTTTCTGGACCCTGTCACACTTTGGAGAGAGGGAGCATGTATATGTGGCAAACTAAATTCATCAGGTTAGTTCCTATGATGACATGAGCTCCAAGGGAATGGACTGATCTTCCATGTGGTCTTAGAAAGGAAACATGCTGACACCTGCTCTGGTTCCAGGTTAAGAACATTTCATGTAGAAGAGAAGCCGCCTCAGTGCCAGCCTAATGCAAGTTTAACATCTACATTTCCCACTAGCTGTGGGATATCGAGGAAGGCCTTAAATCTGAAGCAATCTATAAAGGTACAGAGCCTTAAATAGTCGTAAAATTCACATCAACATAAAAAAAAAAATAAAAAAAAAATCCAGATGTTTGTGACTGGATTAATTACTTATAAGTGTTCAAGTAGTGCGAGTCAACCATTTTTTGCCTGCAAGTTGTTCACAAGGGAACTTTCTCTACGCCCCATTTCTGCTGTGTAATTCATCACTTAGGTCCCATAATATTGTTTCTGATTCCTGGCTGAGTAACTAAACACTTCTAGTCATGTGTGCACACATTTAAACAGGATTGCAAGGAAGAAACAAGTGCGAAAATAGTGAATAGACAAAAAACACATTTCAAACATGCTAGCACTAATTTAAAGCAGTCATGGCCCAAACATTTAACACAAAGTCTGTGTGCAATCATTCACGTCTTTATCATCTGTTAAATTCACATTTGGTGAAGCTAGCCATAACACGAAGAATTTGGCTATAAAAGCCTCTCTTTGTAAAGTCAACGTGCCCCATTTTCCAATTTCTTCTACTTCAGCAAAGGATGGTTAATATGGATACCTTTAGGCAAAGGGAGAGAAGAAAATCATAGTCTTTCTCCAGTGTAATTCTCCCTCCCACTAGTGTGAGGCAGTTTTTGCTATGCTGATTGAAAGGTATACTTAAGAGAGGTACTGCTAAAGTCTTGTTTCACCACAAAAACTCCCTGGCATGAAGCTAGCTATAACTCTTCTAACCCATCCATTTTGAATGACTGTCATTAGGAAAGAATTCATTGGCTTTGCATTTCATATAAGGTAATGGT